TGAGGCTTTATTTCAAGCAATTATGTCTTTATGACATGCGATTGAGGCTTTATTTCAAGCAATTATGTCTTTAAAACATGCGATTGAGGCTTTATTTCACGCAATTCTGACTTTATATCTCACAATTCTGAGAAATAAAGTCTGCGAAAAGTATACTCGCAATTGTAAGGAAAAAGTCGCAATTATTAAAAAAAAAGGTTTTATTCTGAAAGCTCTGAAAATAAGAGCTTCGCTCGTGAAATGTATTCTTGGAAGATCAACGATTGTTCACCAACTCTCTAACTAGGCCTATGAATTCTTAATGTGCATGTGCCATCAGCGTTTATCACAGGATCGCGTTTAAAGTCTGTTTAGAGAGAACGGTGTCATCCCCTAATTTAATAACAAATTATCATTTCGACAGAATCAAAACTAACTAGCTGTAAAATAACATTATTCACGAACCGCTATAAAGCAAAAACAATCTGTTACATTAAATTAAAGCTGCTTTGAAACAATCTAAATTGTTAAAAGCGATATATCAAGATGACTTGACTTGACTAGTGCGCATGCGCGCGTTACAGGGTCCAACACGTATTGGACCGTCCAGCTACGTCATCGTGCTACAGACTGCAGCGAGGACCTCTTGAAATTATCAGCAAAAGTTTTTTTTTTAAGTAACCTACTCCTTTAAAGGAACAGGCAAAGAGACGGCCATTCTTCTATATCAGCCTATTTTCTAAAAAAAAAAAAAAAAAACTGACCAACAAATATAAGATTTGGAAATGAGTTCCCAGCTGAGCATTAAACAATAACTAGGCCTAAAAGTGATTAAATTAATGAATTATCAGTGTGAATTGCCTCTTGTCTAGCGGTTCGTTCTTAATCTTTTAAATCCCATGACCCTCTCAGAGTGGGCTGAATTAAACTGAGGTGGAAACGTCAGATATACAGTATCAGGGGTGTGTAAACAAGCGCCAGTTATGAACTCACTCTATTTCCCTCAGGACTCATCTTCACTTCCATCATTTACTCGTTCCTTCAGCTCCTCCTGTGCTCGTTCTCCTCTCGCATCATTTCCTCTGTAGTGCATCACTTCTCCCTCTCCTTCAAGTCTAACGTTTTACAAAACATTACAAAACAACGTACGATTGATTAATTCATTAATTCCACTCTTCCAATATGCTTTTTTATTATAACTTAGTTTTTTTACACTCACAAAGCAATTTGTGCTTTACCATTAAGTGTATGCAAATCAAACCAGCAGCCAATTAGAGGTCCAGTGACATCAGAGCTTGTTACGCAACACAGCCGATTCTGTTCATATACTGTTCAGTGCATAAAAACACCCACACACTCACACATATTCATTTGCATATGCATAAGGCATGCACACAGTAATTCTATCTATCTATCAGTTGTTCTATCTATCTATCTATCTGTCTATCATCTTTCTATCTATCTGCCTGTCTATCTATCAGTTGTCTATCTATCTATCTATCTATCTATCTATCTATCTATCTATCTATCTATCTATCTATCATCTTTCTATCTATCTGCCTGTCTATCTATCAGTTGTTCTATCTATCTATCTATCTATCTATCTATCTATCTATCTATCTATCTATCTATCTATCTATCTATCTATCTATCATCTTTCTATCTATCTGTCTGTCTATCTATCAGTTGTTCTATCTATCTATCTATCTATCTATCATCTTTCTATCTATCTGTCTGTCTATCTATCAGTTGTTCTATCTATCTATCTATCTATCTATCTATCTATCTATCTATCATCTTTCTATCTATCTGTCTGTCTATCTATCAGTTGTATCTATATATCTATCTATCTATATATCTATATCTATCTATCTATCTATCTATCTATATCTATCTATCTATCTATCTATCTATCTATCTATCTATCTATATCTATCTATCTATCTATCAGTTGTTCTATCTATCTATCTATCTATCTATCTATCTATCTATCTATCTATCTATCTATCTATCTATCATCTTTCTATCTATCTGTCTGTCTATCTATCAGTTGTATCTATCTATCTATCTATCTATCTATCTATCTATCTATCTATCTATCTATCTATCTATCTATCATCTTTCTATCTATCTGTCTGTCTATCTATCAGTTGTTCTATCTATCTATCTATATCTATATATCTATCTATCTATATATCTATATATCTATCATCTATCTATCTATCTATCTATCTATCTATCTATCTATCTATCTATCTATCATCTTTCTATCTATCTGTCTGTCTATCTATCAGTTGTTCTATCTATCTATCTATCTATCTATCTATCTATCTATCTATCTGTCTATCTATTCTATCTATCTATCTATCTGTCATTCTATCAGTTGTTCTATCTATCTATCTATCTATCTATCTATCTATCTATCTATCTATCTATCATCTTTCTATCTATCTGCCTGTCTATCTATCCGTTGTTCTATCTATCTATCTATCTATCTATCTATCTATCTATCTATCTATCTATCTATCTATCATCTTTCTATCTATCTGTCTGTCTATCTATCAGTTGTTCTATCTATCTATCTATCTATCTATCTATCTATCAACCTACCTATCTATCGTTCTATCAGTTGTTCTCTCTATCTATCTATCTATCTATCTATCTATCTATCTATCTATCTATATATATCTATCTATCTATCTATCTATCTACCTACCTATCCGTTGTCTCTCTATCTATCTATCTATCTATCTATCTATCTATCTATCTATCTATCTATCTATCTATCTATCTATCTATCTATCTATCTATCTATTGGTTGTTCTCTCTCTCTCTCTCTCTCTTTCTCTCTCTATCTATCTATTATTCTATCATTTGTTCTCTCTATCTATCTATAATTACATAATTCTTTTGTACTCCTCACCCATCCATGTTCTCTGTGGATGAGTGTTTGGTGTTTGCTAGTTCCTGTACCCTGCTGTGTGTGTGTTTGTGAGTTTGTGTGTGTGTGTTTTCTCCTCATCTCACCACATCCTACAGCCTGTCATTTAGAAATGGAAAACGAGTGTGTGTGTGTGTGTGTGTGTGTGTGTGAGAGAGAGAGAGAGAGAGGGAAGCTTAGGAAGATTTCACTTGGTTCCTTGGCACTTCAAACGTGTTAATATCAGCAGCAGCAGTTCCGTTGCCATGGACACCGAAGTCTAACTGTCTCAACCTCCTGTTTAAAATGCGCGTGTGTGTGTGTGTGTGTGTGTGTGTGTGTGTGTGTGTATGTTCACCCATACGGGAAAGATCCTATATTCCCAGTCAAATCTGTTTTACATCTCAATTGATTCTCTTAGACAGCAGTGAGATTAAGGCATGAAACTACAAACAACCCCATTGGGTTTTTTTACACTAACTCACCAATTTTGAGATTTTGAAGTATTTTGTCTCCATAACATGTCTTCTTTTTAGTGTAGTAGAAAGAAATTCTGATGATGTGTTCAGGCACAAGGGCGGAGCAACCTGTCACTCACATGAGATCCACCAATAGCAAACCACCACCATCCAATCAATTCCCTATGGACAAAATCAAGCTTCATTTGTTCTTGTTCGAGAAGCCGTTTTACAACGTCACAATAGGGAAGAATACACCTGTCGCACCATCAGTCTCCTTCTCAGATAAGGAAAAAATCCCAATAATCTCTTGTTTTTCCAACAGATCTCAATGTCTCAAACTACTCAGATTCGCCAAGAAACCAAAGTCTAAGATGAAAATATCAAGTCCAGAGCCAGAGCTAATTTTATCTGCCTCAACGACTGATGTGTTTGTGTCTATTTTTATTACCTTTAAGGCATTTACTAGAAGAAAAATCTAAAACAAAGTAGATATGTCACTCAAAAGTAACTCTTTGAAACATAAGCTCAGGTTTACTGCCACTGGCCAATCACTTCTGTGACAGAGCTGATGGCACACTGCCCTCTACAGGAGGATATAAGGCACTACATTAACTCAGAGAGAGAGAAAGATGCTCAATACACTGAAATCAAACGAAGATGTTTCTCTCAGACTCTTTTTCTCCTCCAGTAACTGAAGGAACATTATTAAAAATGAGTATCTGACAGTGTTGATTAGTTGATGCATTTAACTTTGTTTTAATAAATCCTTAATTCTCGCCATCCAACACAGAGCACACGTGTTAGAGGAATATTTGCATCATAGCAGATCTAGAAGGAAACAACATTGTTCCTGGCAGAAATATGAGCTGTCAGAAATAATAGGCAGAAACTGCAGAGACAATATACAGTCAAAGTACCTGTGTATGGATAGTGTGCGTGTGTGTGTGTAAAGTTGATACTCTGCAGCAGAGTGATGAGTTTGCAGATGTGGGTCTGACAGCTCAGAGAAAATGATGACTTCAGACGGCAGAGAAATACCATATAGAAATATGAAGGCGGCAACTGTGAAAACAACCTGACATTGATGCAATACAGGAAAAAAAACTGTGTAAAATATGATTTATCTTACAACGCCATCTTTGTTTGCATCCATTTAACTTTTAACAACAATTTCTGTCATTTTTACTTGTTGAGTTTTGATGTTCAACTAGTTTTTCTTCATCATCAGTACGTAAATTCACATGTGTAAACGGTTAAAACACCAAAAATCAAGATGTAAACTGAAATTATATTTTTTTCTCCTCAATAACTATAGTATTTTATTTTTAAACATACATAATCTCATAGAATCACAAAATAAATGTATCAGCAATCCCAGTTTCTGTTCATAAAAAAACCTTGAAAACAAGCAGCGTTGTCATAATTACAGCAGAAATAATGTTGGAAATCGATTGTGTTGGACAATGACGGGTCTTTGAGTAAAAAAAGGATGAGAAGATTGGTTGGGTGAGATATTTTCCAAAGTTATAATATTCTGATCAAATGGCATGAAAAGGATGATGGAATGATCACAAACACAAGACCACAGGTGCAGTTCAGCCTCCTGGACAGCAGGGGCAGTGCAGCATTAGTGTGCTTACCAGTGTGGAGACCGCAGACGTGTACAGAGGGGTCTGACCAGAGGACAGCAACACTGGCTGTGAAAGAAACAAACAGGAGAGGAGGGCGGATAACTTAACAACAAAAAAAAGCATTAAATAAAAGCCTTTGATATGTAAGAGCAGGCGCATTTGTAACTTGAATTTGCTAGATTTCCGGTTATTCTTCTAGCTACTTGCTGATGAACCAGAAGTCTCGCTCATTCACAGAAAATGTTGCAAAACAAGGTGGATACAAATAAAGGGATAGTTTTTCTCAAAATATCATCTTCTGTTGAACACAAAAGTAGATATTTTGAAGAATAGCAGATGGTCCCCATTGACTTCCATAGTATAGAGAAAGAAATAGTGGAAGTGAATGGGGACCAACTACTGTTCTTCAGCAGAAGAAATAAATTCATACAGGTTTGGATCAACTTGAGGGTGAGAAAATGATTTTTATTTTTGGGTGAACTGTAAAAAACATGCATCATAACGCATTATAAAGCAATGAATCTGCTATCTACAGCAATAATATAAATGTACTTAAAGGAGTAGTTTCAGTGCAAACTGCAAACTGTTCAAAGGGCTTTAAACGATTCCAGACGATGAATAAGGGTCTTATCAAGTGAAACGATCGCTCATTTAATAAATGAATAAAAAAGTTTAAGTTTTATAAGCTCAAATGCTCGCCTTGCTCTGTCCTTCGATGCATGTTCGTGACTCTCCTGTTCGAACTCGATCATCAAAATGAACAAATCTTTTTCAGATTCAATTCGTTTGTTTCGTTCGTTAAAAGAACCAAATGACTCGAAAAAAGATTTGTTTATTTTGATGAACAAGTTCGAACAGGAGAGTCAAACGTGTGTCACAGAACAGAGCAAGGAGAGCATTAGAGCTTATAAAACTTAAACTTTGTTATTTATTTATTAAATGAGCGATCGTTTCACTAGATAAGACCCTTATTCATCATCTAGAATCGTTTAAAGCCCTTTGAACAGTTTGCAGTTTGCACTGAAACTGTGTTTTGGACCTTGAACCGTTTGGTCCCCATTGGAGTCCATTATATGGAGAAAATCCTGGAATGTTTTCATCAAAAACCTTAATTTCTTTTCGACTAAAGAAAGAAAGACATGGACATCTTGGATGACATGGGGGTGAGTAAATTATCAGCAAAAGTTTTTTCAAAAGTGAACTACTCCTTTAACACACTCACTATATGGTTTTATAATGTTCTTGAATGAAACATAACTGTTGTAAAATCTCACAACGAAATTAATTTAGTGAACAAATCATTGTATTTAATGAATTTAATTACATTCGTACATCATATTTTCTACTGGAAAAATTCCGAAATTGTAAATATTTTACAGAAAATGCTGCAAATCTGTGATTGATATTATCTGATATTTTTAAAGAAATTCCCAGTTAGTGTTCGCTCATCTGAGCTAACTGAAATATGGCAACTGCATCCTTTTAAAGGCTCTGAACTGGGGACATTACAGGAAACGGATTCCTAGCGGATGATCGACACTGACACAAAAGTCCTGAAGTTTGTGCATCTCTAGGATTGGGTGTAAAGTAGGAAACCGGAAAGTTATAAAAAACAGAGCCAGAAAGTGAGGAGGTTTTTAAATCATAGTTTTCTTTATGACAATTAAAGTGAACGTGGAGTGAATTTGTGATGTGATACACGTGACGTCACTTAACGCGGATCCACAACAGAACCGGAAGACAATACAATGCTGAATAAAGTCGTAGTTTTTTGTTATTTTTGTCCCAAAATGTATTTTCGATGCTTCAAAACATTGTAACTAACCCACTGATGTCACATGGACTACTTTGATGATGTCTTTATTTCCTTTGTGGACAAAGACAGTATACCGTACACACATTTACCAATGAAGCTCTCGGACTAAATCTAAAATATCTTAAACTGTGTTCTGAAGATGAACGGGCTTGGGACGACATCTTTAATGACATCATTTTCATTTTGGGGGGAACTAACCCTTTAAATGTGTGAGAACCCTGTTCTTAAAACGCCAGCGCTGTTCAATGCTATCCCAGCAGAGGGCGCTGTTGTTCAGCTTTGAGTGATTAAACCGCTTCAGGTATTGCTTCGCCGCATGATAAATCCTTTACATATATGAAATGCTGTGGTTTCCAAAAATAAACTGAAGATAAGAGCTCTCCACATGCAGATGGAAATCTCATATTATTACACATTCCCTGAAGCTTCAGGATGATGGCTCACTCCTTCTGAACCCCTTGAGATTCATCCCTGACCCAAATCCATCCGGAGAGCTCCCAGAGGAATGCGTCTCATTTTCTCAAATTTCCTGCTCCTTTATTCACCGATGCATAAATACTGTCAAACACTCCAAGTTCAACAATGAAAATATTACTAATTAAAGCAAACTTAAGACATTTTATTAGATAGATCTCAGTCTAACTGGATTGCTCTGTCAAATATTTTACAAATTAAAACTGACCATTGCAAATCAACCAGTCTTCAAGACTGTTTCCACGCTTGTTCTAACATTATAAAATCATTTAAACTCGAAAATTTTGTGCATTTATTTAATAATTTTGGTGTGTATCCAAGTAATAAGTGAGACTATGTACAGTCAGCCAGTTATAATTGCAAAATAACCCCTGATGACGGAGCGACTGCACATTACAGTCTCCTATAATACGCTATGGCTGAATTCTTGCTTCTGATTGGTGGACACACATTGATAATAATTGATAAAGTCATTCCTTTAACTATAAGTAACTTTGCAACATCTAAACAAACTCACATTAGAGTATTAGTACACTCTGAAAAACGCTGGGTTGTTGTCAAATATGGACAAACCCAATGTGCAGTTGAAATTGGGTTAACCCAACATTTGGGTTTGTCCATATTTAACCCAAATTTGGGTTAAACAACCCAGAATTGTTTAGAGTGTAGACTGTTAGGGTTTGGGTTAGTGGAATAAGTTGATGTGTACTTGTCTTGCCACATTTACACTACAGATTTTGATCCTCAATAGCAATTTGTTGACTCTATAAGATTTTTTATTTTTATTTTTTGTGACATTTTTCTTTTAAAAGTGACCCATATCCGGTATCTTGTAGCATTTACACTAAACACTTGGCGAAACAACCCAGGGTAGACGAACTGACCCGAAAAGGATGTAAAAACTGCGTTATTTGCAAATGCACGTGCTGTATCCGGTTCATATCAGATTTATTTACACATATGAATGAGGCCTGAAACTGATCTGAGAATATCAGAATTACAGGTTCATGGGTCATATCTGATCTGTAATGTAAATGTGGCGAAATAGTCAGTAAAAAGTCTGTTGTCAGATCTTCAAAATAAAGTGTAATTAGTAGAAAATCTAAAGTGGACCTTTGAAATAAATGATTAGTTTTAAAATTCTTATTAGTTAATTTTTTTCCCAGTTGAACCCAAATATATGCACAAATATCACACTCAGCACATTTTAAAGAGCAGTACATGTTACAGTAGTTCCTGAATCAATACTTCAAGGATGTTTGCCAATATAAGACAAAAATAATCAGAATTTGAAGGTTACTTCCAAAAGTCTTTTGCAAAAGGATGCGCTATTCCAAAAGAAATTAACATAATTATATTAAAATGCTGTTGTTTTTTCCCTGGCCAAATTCTAAGGCATTTGCTAGGTATTTCTATGCTTCTCAGGTCTTCGTGAGAGACTTTTTCTTCTTGATGTTCTTTTTTTTTGGTACAGTACGTAAAACATGCGGAAAACATGACTTGATAAATTTTTAGATTATATTTTCGTTCTTACATGAAACATTTGGAATCGACTTGATCTGACTTGATATTATGACTTCGACTTGATATGATGCTTCTCTGATTAAAAAAATTATCACAGAGAAAATAAATCAATATCGAGGCACATAATAAATATAGCATCACAAGGCTGAAAACACAATGTTGTCTCCATATTAATAGTAAAATTTTTGTTTTAGAAATAATGTCTATGTTGGACTTTGTATGCGTTTCCTTTCACTAACAGAAAAAAAAACCAAAAGGCCTTTTTTAGCTAGCTCATCATATTCAGATCAATGTGCTGCGAAGCTTTTGAAGAGATACACAATAATCTGTCTTTGAACTGGTTGAATAATAACAGGAATAGCATAAGGAGACATATAGGAGATCTGATGTGTCATATGACCACATGACAGTGTGTGTGATGCAAAGTTAACAGCATGTATTACATAATTATACAACTAGGGCATAAGGAAAAATAAATGTACTGTACATCTTACATAGGATCATACATCCCACATTAAGATTACACTACACGCAACACAAAAAATTAAAACGTCAGAAAATAATAACTACATTCGCTGCCCTAGATATTTGTTTAAATACAAAATAGTAGTGGTGTACAAGTGCACGGATTGAGCTGCATCAATTATAGAATATAATAATTACTATAATTATATTATAGTACATACAATTGCGTTATGTTTTTGAAAGTATGCACACTTTCCATGTTGAATTATACAGTTTTAGTAAGCATTCATAATCAAATAGGCATAATAATGAGCACTAATAATGATTATTTTGATTTAGCTCTACAGTAAAGGTAACCAAGGGATGTATGTGGATGTTTGCGTGTTGTGTTTCACAGGCATGTTTCACATGAAGACAGATGGTACTACTGAGAGAGAGAGAGAGAGAGAGAGAGAGAGAGAGAGAGAGGAGTGGTTAGGTTTCTGACCTTCATTTATCCAGCCAAACGCCCTTGACACACAGAACACAAGAATGTAAATGAGCTTCACGCTAAAGTGATTTGACACAAATCATATTAGCCAAGTGCTACGATGCATAAATAATAACATATGTTACACGTGTTTGTATGTTTCACTCTAGGTAGTGGGTTATTGTTCTGGTGTGGACACTAATATGATGATTGAGTCAAAAATGGTGGCTAGTGTCCCTAAAGCGTGTTCAATTATTTACAAGGTCATTCGTAATGTCATAAATATATTGTGTGTCAGTGTTTTGGGAAATGTGTTGTTTTCTTCAATCTCTCTGTTTATCTCTCACATATATTTGCATACAGTCAATGATTATGACTTTTTTTTTAAAGAAGCTTTTCTCAAGTTAATACTTTTACTGAAAAATTAAAATATGTTATTATTATTCATGTCATTTGAAACTTTATTATATTTATGTCAGTGTTTTTGTATTTTTTTTTAAGAAATTAATACTATTATTCAGCGAGGATTCATTAAAATTTTCAAAAGTTTCCATTTCAAAATGTCTGTTTCAATTAAATGTTATTCTTTTGACCTTTCTATGTGTGTGTGTGCTTGTGAGTATGTGTGAGTGCGTGCATGATTGTGTGCGTGCTTGCTTGTGAGAGTGTGTGTGTGTGTGTGTGTGTGTGTCATGCAAAGTGAACAGCATGTACCACATAAATATACATTCAGCTAGGAGTGTTTGGATGGGTCTGATCAGCCTACACACAGCAGAGGTGTGCAGAACAGACACACACAACATGACTCGCTCTCTCTCTCTCACACACACACACACACCTACTGAAACCAAGGGAAATGGGGAAACCATGCAGGGAATGAACACAGAGGTCAGACGGAGACACAGTAAGACACGAGTATTAATAGAAGAGACGAGGCACTGAGAAATATAGTGCAGTAGACCAGGGCATGAGTGTTGAAACACACACACACACACACACACACCATACAATGAATCGATTATGTGGATAAAAATTGAATAACATGAACATTTTCTCAAAGACAATGAGAACAGAGATAATACACACACACACAACTGCAGATAAGCTAAAGTGAATATGTATTTTGATGAGTTCTCTAAACGTCACAATCGTTTCTATAGAAATCCAATGGAGAGCATAATAAGTCATTAATAATAAACTGTACTCAAGTGTTCAAACAGCAAATATGACTAAATACAGTATGCTGTAGTTGCTCAAAACCAAGTTATCTGAGTTATGTTATCCACATTAATTTTCAGTGTTGTTTTTGTTAATTAACGCTCATTGAAATTAAGCTGAAAATATTATATGAAAAAATAAATACAAATTCTTGGCAACTAACTGAAATAAAACAAGGGTCCCACTTTAGTGTCTTTAACTACTATGTACAATTTAAATAATTTGATACAATGCACTTATTGTGTACTCATGTTCTTAAATTGAACTTATTTAAAAAATACCTGCATGTAATTCATAATGTCCTTAAACCGACACTTAAAGCAAACCTGTGCCTAACCGTACCCGTATCTCACCGCAATAGCAGCAACAACATCAACACAATAGACCCCTTTTCAGTTGGTAAACATGGTGACGTTTTTTGTGGGCGGAGCTTAGGTGGAGGCAGAACGATCCCTCTGGCCGCTTCACTAACGCTAGTTAGCAAGGATTGTTAGCTTGTTTTTTAACAATGACTGGAGAAAATCCGATATTATCTTAATGTGTAAGGTCACTCAGTGTACAGGACCGCGATTGTTATTTCCAAAAGTTATCTTTAAGGGACGGAACCAGATTGGCCGACCTGTAGCCGCATACACGCTCACTCAATGCATGGACGATCTGACAGGATTAACGTACGTTACCTCGGGTGAGTGGCCTGACTTCTACACCTACCTTATAGAGAAACCGATCGTAAAGAGAAACTGAGGGCATATAAATCTTTAGACAAGACTTGTGTGTACGATCCACAGTTCTGCCGAGACCACGACAATGTAAACAGTGACATTACAGTGCGATTTTAATGATGTGAATATTTTCTAGAAATAAAAATTCCAGATATAGCATATTCATTTTTCATCAATTCTTGCACCAAACAACACAACAAGATGACATTTAATAATAGTAATAATAATTTAAGCTCCTTATTATGTAGCCGAATCTGTGCTGGTTTGTGTTGGCCGCCTCCAGTTTTCACTTTGTTTTGCCTCCAGCTAGTGCCGTGACGTAACTGTGACGTCGGCGCAAAAGGGGTCTATAAGTACACTGAACCTAAGAAAGAGTGACCAAAGCTCTAGTGGAAAAAATGACTAAAATTAAAACTAAAATAAAAATAAAGGTTAAATAGAAATACAAAAGCACATTAGAAAAATACTCAAACTGAAAATATACAAGCAACGCTAATTTAAAAATGAACAGAAACAGCTTATAAATCATACTAAGTGCTGTTTTTTGAAAATGTTAAAAGTTTTTGGTGATGGGATTGGGATTAGGGGTGGGGTTAGGGATCAGGGGGCGGAGATGGGTAGGATTAGGGGTGGGGTTAGGGATCAGGGGGCGGAGATGGGTAGGATTAGGGGTGGGGTTAGGAATCAGGGTGCGGAAATGGGTAGGATTAGGGGTGGGGTTAGGGATCAGGGGGCGGAGATGGGTAGGATTAGGGGTGGGGTTAGGGATCAGGGGGCGGAGATGGGTAGGATTAGGGGTGGGGTTAGGGATCAGGGGGCGGAGATGGGTAGGATTAGGGGTGGGGTTAGGGATCAGGGGGCGGAGATGGGTAGGATTAGGGGTGGGGTTAGGAATCAGGGTGCGGAAATGGGTAGGATTAGGGGTGGGGTTAGGGATCAGGGGGCGGAGATGGGTAGGATTAGGGGTGGGGTTAGGGATCAGGGGGCGGAGATGGGTAGGATTAGGGGTGGGGTTAGGGATCAGGGGGCGGAGATGGGTAGGATTAGGGGTGGGGTTAGGGATCAGGGGCGGAGATGGGTAGGATTAGGGGTGGGGTTAGGGATCAGGGGGCGGAGATGGGTAGGATTAGGGGTGGGGTTAGGGATCAGGGGGCGGAGATGGGTAGGATTAGGGGTGGGGTTAGGGATCAGGGGGCGGAGATGGGTAGGATTAGGGGTGGGGTTAGGGATCAGGGGGCGGAGATGGGTAGGATTAGGGGTGGGGTTAGGGATCAGGGGGCGGAGATGGGTAGGATTAGGGGTGGGGTTAGGGATCAGAGGGCGGAGATGGGTAGGATTAGGGGTGGGGTTAGGGATCAGGGGGTGGAGATGGGTAGGATTAGGGGTGGGGTTAGGGATCAGGGGGCGGAGATGGGTAGGATTAGGGGTGGGGTTAGGGATCAGGGGGTGGATATGGGTAGGATTAGGGGTGGGGTTAGGGATCAGGGGGCGGAGATGGGTAGGATTAGGGGTGGGGTTAGGGATCAGGGGGTGGATATGGGTAGGATTAGGGGTGGGGTTAGGGATCAGGGGGCGGAGATGGGTAGGATTAGGGGTGGGGTTAGGGATCAGGGGTGGATATGCGTAGGATTGGGGACGGGGTTAATGTTCTGCAGTGAGTACCATCTCATAAAACATGGAAACCAAATGTGTGTGTCTGTGTCTGGGTGTGTAAATGTGTGTATGTGTGTGTATGAATGCGTGCGTTTGTGTGATATCCGTACCTTTATTGGTGAGATGTGTGTGTGTGGGGCGTAACTGTGCATGGAGTCCATGGCCGCCAGGTTCTTATCGCTCATGTGAAGCATCTCGGCACTCTTGCTGTGAGCCAGGTGGGCGGGGCTGTGCTCCAGGGGCGGAGTCTCTTCATCCTGATACCGATATTTCTACAGCAACAAGACAGAAAACAAACTCAAACTTAATTCTGAAGCTCTGCTGAATTGATGTTGGGTTTCACGAAAAGTCACCAAAATGAAAAGCTGAATAGGAAAGTGACAAGTAATATACCGGTACACTAATATTACTGATTTAATTGCACCGAAGCTGTCGGATGAGAACAACATTTGAATCGATTATTATTGAACTGAATTAAATCAAAATTGAACTAAACTGAGCTGAATAATAAAAATACAGCTAACAGTTATTTTCCTGTTTATTTTGAAACTATCTGTATTGTATGAAGCCCTATATAAATAAAACATGTGAAAAACCTATTTCTACAAACTCAAAACAAATGAATATTTATTTGGCACAAGACGTGACCCTAAAGAAAGTTGCCAGCCAAAAAACACTTCCGGGTTTATCGAGATGAAACATCAGCACATAGATCAACACCTACTTCTTCACCATCACCTTTGTGGCATGTCCATTGGCGCTTTAATGATGTGATCAAGTGATATGGAGTGATAAAACAGTATCACTGGACTAAAAATAACATTACCTTCCAATGTAACTATGTGAATGTCTCAGTAGAGCGTTATTTGTGTGTTTGGTTCATTTCATCATGGATTCTTTGGTGAACCAGTCACAATCCGACACAGGCTTTGCAAACACTGACAGTAATGCCACAAACTGTCTTAAAGGGATAGTTCACTTTTCTCCATATAATGGACTTCAATGGGGTCCAACTGGTTCAAGGTCCAAAAGACACTTCCAGTACAAACTGCAAACTGTTCAAAGGGCTTTAAACGATTCCAGATGATGAATAAGGGTCTTATCTACCGAAACGATCGCTCATTTAAAAAAATAACAACAAAGTTTAAGTTTTATAAGCACAAATGCTCGCCTTGCTCTGTTCTGTGATGCGCGTTCGTGACTCTCCTGTTCGAACTCGATCGTCAAAATGAACGAATCATTTTTTGAGTAATTTGGTTCATTCAACGAACGAAACAAATGGATTGACTCGGAAAAAGATTTGTTCGTTTTGATGAACGAGTTCGAACAGGAGAGTCACGAACGCGCATCACAGAACAGAGCAAGGCGAGCATTTGTGCTTATACAACTTAAACTTTGTTGTTATTTTTTTAAATGGCCGCTCGTTTCGCTTGATAAGACCCTTATTCATCGTCTGGAATCGTTTAAAGCCCTTTGAACAGTTTGTAGTTTGCACTGAAACTGTCTTTTGGACCTTGAACCGTTTGGTTCCCATTGAAGTCCATTATATGGAGAAAAATGCTGGAATGTTTTCATCAAAACCTTAATTTCTTTTCGACTGAAGAAAGAAAGACGTGGACATCTTGGATGATGGGGGTGAGAAAATTATCAGCAAAAGTTTTTTGAAAAGTGAACAACGCCTTTAAAGGGACCATCAAAATAAAGCAAAATCCTCCAAATCAAAAAGTCATTTGTAGATTTTATTTTATTATTTTCCATTTCAAGTAGACAGGAGCTGTATCTGCATTACAACAGTTGTCCGGATGTGCTGCCAAGATGGCCACCAATTGAAATGACTTTGTATCAAGATCAGACAGAAGCCATCCTTCAGTCTCACCAGAAATGAGAAAAGAAGGGAGAAAGTGGGGGTTGAGGGGAGGTAACAGTCAGCAAGATCACATTACAATGAGCCAGCAACACCACAATGACTGAGAGAATGCAGGAACTGACCAGTGCAAACAAGCCAATGTAAAGATAAAATGAACATAGAATATAAAACAGAAGTAAACAGGGAATCTTTTCAGGGAATCAACCTACAAAATGTTTTACTTGAACGGTCTCTGCATTTAAGCTGTGATAAGAGTATGAAATGAATATATCAAAAAGCTTTATGTAACCTCAGTCCTCATTTTATCTTAATCCTGCCAGTTATTCACAAAATGTTGGTTGTGCTTCCCAGTATTTCCGGTTGTTTAGAATCTTTTATAATAAGAGACAGTATCAGCTCCATATATGCAGGTAGAGCAGATTCTGTGTCTTAGCGCTAGATTATGATAAACATTTTACAAGCTTTATAATCTAATTGCTGAACACATGCAGAAACGCTTTTGGTGGAGGTCTGACGTCCTTGTGTTGTTCAGCCTGAGGGTGGCGCTCTAATGTAGATTGCAGGCACGCACATAAAGTTATCTAATATTGCCTTAATGTAGTATTTATTGCCTCCGAATGACTTGTTGAGGAATTCACCCTTCACATGGAGATTGATTGACAGGCGATCTGACCAATCATAATCTGCCATTTTTGTTCTTTCTTCAGTCGAAAAGAAATTAAGGTTTTTGATGAAAATGTTCCAGGATTTTCTCCATATAATGGACTTCAATGGGATCCAAACGGTTCAAGGTACAAAAGACAGTTTCAGTGCAAACTGCAAACTGTTAAAAGGGCTTAAAAACGATTCCAGACGATGAATAAGGGTCTTATCAAGCGAAACGATCACTCATTTAATAAATAAATAACAAACCTTAATTTTTCTAAGCTCAAATGCTCGGCTTGCTCTGTTCTGTGATGAGCGTTTGTGACTCTCCTGTTCGAACTCGTTCATCAAAATGAGCTTATTTATTTATAATAAGCGCTGCAACTAAATGAAACAAAGGGTGCACATTAGATGGGAACCAAACGGTTCAAGGTGCAAAAGACAGTTTCAGTGCAAACTGTTCAAAGGGCTTTAAACAATTGACTCGAAAAAAGATTCATTTTTCAACAAACAAAATTAACGAATTGACTCGGGAAAGGATTTGTTTATTTTGATGAACGAGTTCGAACAGGAGAGTCACGAACGCGCGTCACAGAACAGAGCAAGGCGAGCATTTGAGTTTATAAACTTAAACTTTATTTTTTTTTTAAATGGCAGATCGTTTCACTTTATAAGACCCTTATTCATCGTCTGGTGTCGTTTAAAGCCCTTTGAACAGTTTGCAGTTTGCACTGAAACTGTCTTTTGGACTTTGAACCGTTTGGTTCCCATTGAAGTCCATTATATGGAGAAAAATGCCAGAAACCGTAATTTCTTTTCGACTGAAAAAAGAAAGACATGGACATCTTGGTTGACATGGGGGCGAGTAAATTATCAGCAAAAGCTTTTTTAAAAGGGAACTACTCCTTTAAAGAGCCATAAAACTGTATTTATTGTTTACATTTATTTGGAAAAGTACAAAATTTGAAAGTTGAGACTTTGTTTCATATCAAAAGTAAGCTGGTCCGTCGGCCCGTTGTCAGTCCTTTTGCTCACATCACATGATGTGGCACGAGAGAGGCGTGGCTTGTCAGACATAGCAACAGTAACTAGGGGGCGGGTCTTTGCAAACGGCCAATTCCGGTGAGGAAAAGAAACCATATATAGAACCATATATAGAGGCTATTTCCATTAGCACGTTTAAACTCTCTGTCAGTCTACATCAGGTCAGTATCTAGCTAGACTAACAGAAACACATATACATAAGGAAAATGTGATTTACAGTAAATGAATGGGGCACATGTGTTACTTTAGTCACTTTCAACTATAAGAGCTAATGTTTTAAAAGATTTTTCGTTGAACACCGCCAGTGGCAGTGCGAGATGTGGTGTATTCTCCGCGGGCGACTGATGCTGTGCATCAGACTGCAGTGAGCTCATAACAAAACCCTTGTGGGTAATAAATAACAGACACAGAGGAGAGGGAAAACTAAAGCATACTGTACGTCACAGCGTCAAGAGTGATCCCAAACACTCTGCACACAACTGTCTGACACATATCTATTCCCAGCATGCACCACAGAGAGCGAGAGAGACTCTGAAGCGCAGTTCTGCAGCACAGCCCACCCACAGTCTGCTCACTGTACGTCTGATGCATAATGCACAGGGGAACGAAAAGGCAAACGCATACTCCAATCTAAGGTTTTAAAGTTTTGTGTGTGGAATAGAAAGTACTTAATAATTTTGCACAGACAGAAATTCTAAGTCGCAACATATACACTGAAAAGAAATATGATACTTTGGATCAAATAATTCAAAAAATACTTTTCTCAAATTATATTTATGCTTACATTTTGATGTAATATTAATCAAATACAATTAGGGCTGTGAAACGATTGATCGCGATTAATCACATCCAAAATAAAAGTTTGTGTTTACATAATATATGTGTGTGTAGTGTGTATAATTATTTGATATATATATATATATATATATATATATATAAAAATACACACATATGCACGTATATAATTAAGAAAAATGTGTTATTAATATATCAAATATTTATAATCATGTATAATATAAATTTTGTATAAATATATATATATAAAGTATATACATGCAAATATTTCTTAAATGCATGTGTGTGTATTTATATATACAAAATAATTATACACACTACACACACATATATTATGTAAACACAAACTTTTGCGATTAATTAACGATCGATTAAAACACGATTAATTGTTTCACAGCCCTAAAAAAAAGACAAAAACATTCATACAAAGTAAAAAGATTTTAATCAATATATTTTCTTTAGACATAAGCCAAAATGCCTGGTCAATATAATATTTCCGATTTTACAACATAATTTCACCATAAACAAAAGCTTAATTGACAATTTTCACTTATGATAAAACTAAACACATTTCATTAGCTAATGTTTAATTTGATATATTTTCTGTAAATAAAGACCTTAATCTTTATTGTAATGTCTTCTTAGAATATGCATATTTTTTCTGTTACTGTATGCACTAATAAATAAAAACAATAATAAACATAAAATAATTTCTACAGTGGGTAAATTAATGTGTTCAGCACGTCAAGCGAAAATGTCATTTAAATTAAGTTTTTTGTAATTTTTTTGTACGTGGTGTGTTATTAGATTCAAAGGAGTAGTTCACTTTTTAAAAAACCTTTGCTGATAATTTACTCACCCCCATGTCATCCAAGATGTCCACGTCTTTCTTTCTTCAGTCGAAAAGAAATTATAAGGTTT